AAGAGCGTGACTTTTTGCATCTGTTTCTCATACTGAAATGCTAAAGTTCAGACACTGAAACAACTGATGTTGTGATGCGTTTGCTGTGTGTGTGTGTGTGAGTGTTTATTGTGTCTACAGGCTCGTCCGGTTTCATAATGTGTTAGTAACAGACGAGGTCAGTCCTTCACCCTCCATCAACACACAGCAGCTTAAAGACGACAAAAATAACCTGACCTGCTGCAGCTGATCTTCTGCATGCGTTCAGGTTTTTATCACACGTTTGAAGCTGATTGAAACCTTATGATAACCTGCCTGAATCAAGAGCGCATATTAAAGTCACAATAAAAACCAAGGCTGTAACTTTTGACTTATGGTCTCGACTCACAGAAGTAAATGTGAAGATCTTATAAATTATACATTTTTGTTTGCTCAGGTTGCTCTTTCATGGCTCCGGAAACATACTTCCCAGCAATATTTCATTTAAATATCAACTTTGTCTCAGATTTTTCTCTCAAAATTCCTTAGAAATATAAAATAAACAGTCAATGTTCAAAAACAATTTTTGTAGCTTGGTCGATTCAATATATGGAAGCATGTAAGTTCAGTTTACTTTCATTATGTAAGTTTAGTTTTTATTTAGTTGTTTTTCTCAACCGTCAGTGAGACTTGTTTGACGTGAGATAATTAGTAATAGTCCCTATAGAAAAGCATTTATTTTAGAGTAACTCAACATTTAAGATAAAAGGTTTAGTTTTAGATGAAAAATATTAACTTGCAAAACCCCATTAATGTGTCTTGTGCATTATTATTAATTATTATTATTTCATTTGACATATGCATGTCAAAAATACAACATATAATTTAAAATCTTTTTTTTTGTCAACACAATACTTCAAACTGCAAAAAAACTAAATTGTTTTACTCTGTATTTTGTATTGTTTTTCAGTAAAAATATTTAAACATTCTTAAATCAAGATACATCTACTGGAGAAATAAATTATATTTGTTTAAGCCTTGTTTTCTGAAAAATGGTTTAAAATTAAGCAAATTTGAACAAGAGAAAATATTTGCCAATGTGGTAAGAATAATCTTGTTTTCCCTTTGAATTAAGGTTTATTGGCAGATTTTTATTTTCTTGTTTTCAGAATAAACTTAATTTTGAAACCTATTTCAGAAAACAGATGCTTCATAATTAAAAATATTAACCCCATTAATGTGTCTTGTGCATTATTATTAATTATTATTATTTCATTTGACATATGCATGTCAAAAATACAACATATAATTTAAAATCTTTTTTTTTGTCAACACAATACTTCAAACTGCAAAAAAACAAAATTGTTTTACTCAGTATTTTTGTATTGTTTTTCAGTAAAAATATTTAAACATTATTAAATCAAGATACATCTACTGGAGAAATAAATTATATTTGTTTAAGCCTTGTTTTCTGAAAAATGGTTTAAAATTAAGCACATTTGAACAAGAGAAAATATTTGCCAATGTGGTAAAAATAATCATTTCCCCTTTGAATTAAGGTTTATTGGCAGATTTTTATTTTCTTGTTTTCAGAATAAACGTAATTTTGAAACCTATTTCAGAAAACAGATGCTTCATATCGAGTAGGATTTACTCTAAAACAATTTGAACTCAGAAATTGTTAGTAAATGTCAAAGAAATGGCAAGTAACACATTGAGTTAAATTTTGAGGTGGAAAGATTGAAATAGTATTTTCTTGTAAAAAGTACTCCAATAATCTTTGAGTCAGTTGTGGTTTATAAAGTTAGACATCTCTTTGTACAGTCTCACCAATGAGATAATAATGGAAAATATGATGAGCAGTCGGCTTAACTGTACTTTCAGTCATGAGCACGGCTGCACATCGATATATATAGACATACAGTATATATGAGCGTCGACTCTTGAGTTCAGCATGCCAATGTTATTTCAGCATCACTGAGATACTATTATAGTTTTTCTTAATGTTTTATATTTCATTTTATTTTTATATTTTCTCTTCTCACTTAAATTTTAGTTACATTTGTACTAATTTTGTTGTGTTTTGTCATTTTTATTAGTTTTAGATTTTATTTAAATGTATATATAGTATTTTTATGTATTAGTTTGAATTCAGTTCCGTTTTATTTTTTTTATCACTGATATTCTGTTAGTTTTTGTTAATATTTTGAATTAGATTTTATTTTTATATTTCCTGTTTTCATTTTCATTTTAGTTAAAGTTTCAGTAATTTTTCTGTTTTTGTCATTTTTTTTTGTATTAGTTTTAATTTTTTTATATTTTCTTATATATATATATATATATATATATATATATACATATACATATATATTTTTTTTGTATATATAGTAGCATTAATTTGTATGTATTAGTTTTAGTTCAGTTCAGGTTTCGGCTTTATTTTTATATACTGTTACAGTTTTTGTTAATATTTTAAATTAGATTTTATTTTTATATTTCCTGTTTTCACTTTAAATTTAGTTAAAGTTTTAGTTATTTTTCTGTGTTTTTGTTATTTTTTTGTATTAGTTTTCTTTTTTAAAATATGTCTATATAGTATTTATTTTTATTTAAATTTATTTATTTAGTTTTAGTTATTTTGGTACTTCAGTTTACTTAAAAAAAAATTCAGCAAGTGGCCAAAGCAACATTTCTTATTTTCATTATGTACTTTTTAAATATATTTTATTTCAAGTATAACTCATGTTTTTGTTATGGTTTTAGTTTATTGTTTCATATTTTTATTTCAAGTAATGAACATTTTTTTATAGTTTCAGCTGACAGTAATACCACTGGAATGCATGTCTGCTAATGTCTGCGTATATAAATACATCAGAGAGCGTGTGTAGAAAAGGGTTTAACGACTTTGCAGTGATTCCATTACTTATCTGCATTAACGGCTTCGGTTCAGCTGTAGTGACAATGACAGCTGTTTGTGCAAACGTCACTCTGAGCGCTTTCACGGCTGTATCTCATCCTAAACCAGACTGCAGGATGATTCAGAGCTCAAAATCGGAGCTAAACGGAGAAAGCCATCGATGGAATGAAACGTTAAGAACCTAAATATGTTTCTCTTGAGACAGAACATCGCAAAGCAGCACGCGAGCAGTGACGTCGCACCGAGAACCGCCGGACGCAAACCCAACTCCGACGACTCCAAGAGACAGACGCGACGAAAAGCCAGCTGCGTTGAGAATTTATCGTCGGTCGATCGAATTCGCAAACATGCGACCACACATCTGGGCTACAGCACGCTCAGCCTGGCCATGCGAGGTCTGGAGGAGATGCCGGACGAATTGTGGGAGCTCCAGGAGCTCCAGAAGCTCAACCTCTCTTTGAACGCCCTCTCCGTTCTCCCATCCAGCTTGGGGAACCTGGAGAACCTGGTGATCCTCAACGTGTGGGGGAACGAGCTGCTCAGCCTCCCGCCGGAGATCGGGAAGCTGCGAGCAGACGCGACGAAAAGCCAGCTGCGTTGAGAATTTATCGTCGGTCGATCGAATTCGCAAACATGCGACCACACATCTGGGCTACAGCACGCTCAGCCTGGCCATGCGAGGTCTGGAGGAGATGCCGGACGAATTGTGGGAGCTCCAGGAGCTCCAGAAGCTCAACCTCTCTTTGAACGCCCTCTCCGTTCTCCCATCCAGCTTGGGGAACCTGGAGAACCTGGTGATCCTCAACGTGTGGGGGAACGAGCTGCTCAGCCTCCCGCCGGAGATCGGGCGGCTCGGGAAGCTGCGAGTGCTCTTCGTTCACAGGAACCGGCTGAGCGATGTTCCCGAGGAACTGGGACGCTGCTCCAACCTCGAGGTCCTGAGTTTGGCCAACAACCAGATCGTCACACTTCCCAACAGCCTGTCGGAGCTGCGCCGGCTCACCAAGCTCAACCTCAGCCACAACCACATCCAACACGTCCCGGCCTGCGTCTACAGCATGAGGAGCCTGGTCTTCCTGCATCTGGCCAACAACCGTTTGGAGAACCTGGCCGATAAGATCCAGGAGCTGGTGAACCTGAAGATCCTGATCGTGGAGCTGAACTCGCTGCAGGCTCTTCCCAGGACGCTGTGCTGCCTGACGGGGCTGGAGCTGCTCAACGTGGACTTCAACCGGCTTCAGAGCGTTCCCGATGAGATCTACAAGCTCCGCAGGCTGGAGAAGCTTGCCTGTCATCCGCTGGATAAAGGTCTACATATCGTACACAACCCGCTGGTCAAGCCCATTAAAGAGGTTCTGCAGGGAGGTCTAAAGGCACTTTATAACTACCTCAAACCTGCATGAAGATCATTCACAAAGAAGACACAAATCGGATTGCTTTTTGTGAGTGAAAAAAAAAAATAAATAAAAAAAAGCAGTGCAAAATTTTGTTTCTTTCTCTGTATTTTTGTCTTGTTTTCCAGTTCAAATATCTAAACATTTAAAACAAACAAACAACAACATATTTACTAACGTTTTCTGAAAAATGTTGCAAATTTGTTTAAAACAGGAATTTTCCCTTTGAATTAAGTTTAGTTTTCTGACTCCACTGGCAGATATTTTTCTTGTTTTAAATATAAATTTGCTTATTTTGTCAGAAAACAAGACTTTGTATTTTAACGTATCTTGATTTAAGAATCTTTAGATTTGACATTTTTACTGGAAAACGAGAAAAATACTGAAGAAGAAAATCATTTTTTGCAGTGTGTACAGAGTAAAAATGATTTTTCAAAGTAAATAAAGTCATTATGTGCTTTTTTTTTAAACATTTACACAAAAAAAAAAAGTTTTTTTGTAGGTTTTTTTTTTTACAGATAAATAAAATAAATTAAATTTTACTAGAAAATGATAATTGGGTTATAGGTTTTACAAGAAAATACTATTTTAGTCTTTCAACTTCAAAATTTCATGTGTAATTCAATGTGTTGCTTGCTCTTTCTTTGTATTTGTGAAATTTACTAGCAATTTCTGAGTGAAAATTGTTTCAATAATATTTTGTTTCTATAAATGTTTTCAATGTAGGGGCCAGTTTTTAATATTATTATTTACTTTTATATTATTTTCAATTTTCACCTGAATTGTACTTTTAATTTTACTTTTCTTTTTCTTTTGTAGGGTAGTTTTTATTAATTTGTATATTTTTAAATTCTATTTAGATATTATTTAACCCACTGGTCAAGTCCATTAAGGAGGTCTGAAGGGACTTTATAACTACCTCAAACCTGCCTGACGATCATTCGCAAAAAAAAAAAAGATGTGAATCGAACTGTTTGTGAGTCAAAGCAGTGCAAAAATGACTTTCTTCTTCAGTGTTTTTGTCTTGTTTTCCTTATAAATAAAGATATATTTACTAATGGCTTGAGTCTTGTTTTCTGAAAAATGTTGGGGATTTGTTTAAAACAAGAAGAATTTTCCCAGTGAATTAGGTTAAAAATGACTTTCTTCTTCAGAGTTTTTGTCCTGTTTTCCAGTTCAAATATCTAAACATTAAAAAAATAAAAATTTACTAATGTTTTCTGAAAAATGTTGGGGATTTGTTTAAAACAAGAAGAATTTTCCCAGTGAATTAGGTTAAAAACGACTTTCTTCTTCAGAGTTTTTGTCTTGTTTTCCAGTTCAAATATCTAAACATTAAAAAATGTTGATGCTTGATCTTTCTAACACTCACTGTAGAAACATGCGTGTCATTTCTGGTTCATGCGTGTGTTTTCATCAGCACACACGTCCGATAGAGATGCTTCATGTAGAATTCAGCCACCAACACATAAATCTTGATCTAAACTAGAACCTGTGTGCGTGTTTAAAAGACATAAATCACTGTAAACAGAAACAGGAACAACATGATAAATTAACCAACCATGACCCACAAGAGAGAAACCTATCCAGGTTTTCCAGCACACGACGCGAGACAGCAGCTGTAATGATCAGAAAAATGAGAGAGAGAGAGAGAGAGAGAGAGAGAGAGCAATTGATGAAAAAAATAAATAAAAAAATGAATTTGACCTCCAAACCAAACTCCAGTGTTATTCGGCCCTAAACAGAACCACAAAATTGGCAAGTTACTTATTAATCAAACAATTAAAAGAAAGGCAAATTCTTTCAAAATACCGACTCTGTGACCACGAATTACAAATAGAGAAAGGAAGACATAAACGCTGTTTTCTAGGAATCCAGGATTTTTTTATGTAAACAAATTTGAGTGCTTTTGAAACCATGACTTTTCCAAACCACGGTATACCTTGAAACCGGTTATCGACCCATGCCTATTCAGCATTTATAAGTAAAAAGTGTTTAGCAGTAAAAATATACATACATACCTTTGAGTGGAATACTGTACTGTATGGTCTCATTGGCAAACACAGCAAAACTGACCTATAGAAATAAAATAAAATATATTAATGACCACAATATCCTCTTGTCATAATAATTCAATGAATTAATGCTTTATAACATTGTATTTGTAGCCTACCTCATTTAGCCCCTACTCAGGGAACCATGGTTACATAAGTAACCTGAGACGTTATTTAGCCTAGTCAAATCAAGTCAACTCAACCTGAGGTTAATGATTTTAAAATGTTAACCTAAAATCTTTCAGTACAAAAAGCCAAGAGTGCTCATCCACCTCAGATGCCAATACACTTGAATTTTACTTAAAGAGCAATTTAGTAATTTTGTACATGTCATATATTTTGTAATATTACATATATAATATTTTGAAAATAATTTCAATAAACAGATATACTATATTATACTTAGCTTAACAACTCAAATTATGCACATTTATCAGTAATTTAAGAAAAATTAAGAGAAATTTGTGTATATACAGATTAGTTGTTATTGATTCCTAAAATGAGACTATGCAATTTCTTAATAAACAACTGTAATTACTTTAGCAAAACAAAAGTCAAAACAGAGATTGTGTAAGAGTTGAGACAATTAAAGAACAGATGATTGTCTGCCACTGCCACCCTCTCGGTCTGGAGCATAACGCAGCCATTTTTTGACAGTCTCCGAAAACTCTGCCTTGGTCACCTCTTTACATTGCGGTGTATTTCGCAATGCACCTGAAACAATAAGGAACAAAATTAAACTAACATGCAGGGGACATAGTTGCACCAGTTTCTGCAAAAACTGTGTCTTACAGTGTCTTTTTTCCACACTTGTATAATTTAGAGATTTTTCTTCCAAAACCTGGTACCTCTGGTCTATTGGCGCAGTTAGTGCAAGCATATACTGTATGTGTACCATATTTGACATGGTATATGCATTTGCAATCCCACTCTGATCCCCTCAAAAACATTTACAATTCTCAGAAATGTATATTAAGAGCCGTGCTTCCAAATGTGCAGAAAAAAATGTGGTGCCCATAAATAAAATAAATTGCACTTGAACAGCACAAGACAAAATTCTCTCAAAAAAGCTCTCCAGGAGCAGGTTTGGAGATCCCAGGTCTACTAATAAATAATTAGACAAAACTCTTAAACAAAGATAGTGTGAAAAGCCTTTTTAATGAATCGGGTGCTAATCTATTACATACGGAACATTATCCTCTGAAGATTAGAGGATTCAAAGCTCCTCTTCTGTCCACGTCCAGCCCAATTAAATAATGACGCTAGTCGGTTTGTGAAAATTTGGCTTAGCATTCTCCGTACACTGTCCTCTAGTTTATGTCCACCCAGAAGTGATAGCTGGCAAATCTAATAAAATACAGGTCAGTATTCACATAAATGCCCTATAAAATTCACATAAAACCAGACAAAACGTTCAGTTAACTGTTCCAAATGGACCTACGATATCTGAGAGGTTGCCTGACCATATAAAGTTTTGCCATTCTCTGTTGACTTTTCTCATTAAAAAATGTTTCCATCTGCAGACTAGACTTTTTTTGTGATTGCGAGTTTTTGGAAAACATGAATGATTGCTGGTGTCAAATGGGCTGGTTTGAGTATTTCTGTTACTGCTGATTTCCTGGGTTTTTCACAAACATTTCTCTCTAGAATGTACTCAGATTGGTGCCAAAAAAAACTTATAGGTGTTAGAAGTCATGAGAGGATGCCCTGACTGGTTCTAACTCGAAAAAGTCGAGAGTAATTCAAAAAAGAATAGCATCTCAGAATGGTATTCTCAGATGCTGGTTGGTGCTATTTGGTGTCATACGGGAAACCCAAAACTGGCCACACACTTGAAGATTTTAAGCCCTGTTTTGTGCACAATTTGCATGCTGTAATATCTCATGTCTGTGGAATTGCTACTGTGAAATCATTACTACAGTCGGCAGGTGTATTGTCTTGCAGTCTGGCCGAATCGTCTTGTGACAATCTGAAGATTATAATGTTAAAAACTGGTTAAAAATTATCTTTATGTCTATGGTCTCCCACGGTTTTAAAACTGGTTAGAAT